TATTATAATATATATATATATATATATATATATATATATATATATATATATGAAGAAATATAGTTTTAAGGTGTGCCACATTTATGGGATAAAGTGCTCAATATCAGCGATAGAGCGTATGTAATATAAATGTGAACACTGAAATCAACACTCAGAGGCGACAGGCTGTTTCATGCCGGACGCAATCGTTATTGTCTCCAGCATGAAACAGCCTGTCGCCTCTGAATGTTACCTTCAATGTTCACTTTCATATATATATATATATATAAATATATATATATATATATATATATATATATATATATATTATTATTATTATTATTATTATTATTATTATTAAAGCTTCGTCAGAGATTTAGAGAAACCAGACAAACAGACTGTTATTTTTAATTATGTTTAGGTCACTTCTCATTGGTCAGACATGTGTCACGTTTATTAAAACCGTGAATGCCTGCGTTTCTCTCTTTTTGTCTGTTTTCTCTCAATCTCTGACGAAGCTTTTATAAAAGTCAAACATATTACATTGATTTCTTATTTGTTCTTTATTTTAACATCCTGTCGGATTCCGTAACATATTTGATCTGCATTTGATCTTTAATTCATATATATATATATATATATATATATATATATATATATATATATATATATATATATATATATGTATGTATGTAAGTGTGTGTGTGCGTGGGGAGAGAGAGAAAGAGACCCACTGTCTTCTCAAATGAGCAATGGTGAGAGTAAAAAGATCATTCAGGCCTTTAGTAATACTACATACATTCATACTCTAGCTTCCAACTTCAAAGCCCATCATGAACCATCAGCAGAACGGTAAATAAGTTTTAAAAAGAAGGAACAGTAGAGAGAAAAACCGGATCAGGAGATCACAACAGGAAGAGTGGTTGTCTTTTCAACTTAGAGCTAAAGAGAACAATTAGAAAAGATCCAACTCAATTCATAAGACGTTTGGCACTTGAAAGAGGAGTTTCAGTTATGAAAGTCTAAAGTGCAATGAAAAAAAGTTTTGAAAATGAAATCGTCCGCGAAACCTGTGTGGCACCTTGTTACACCAGGACAGAAAGTTAAAAAGGTTAGTGAAAATGAGCCTGGAAAAATATATATATATATATATATATATATATATATATATATATATATATATATATATATATATATAAACTTTATTTCAATCCTTCAGGAGATTCCTATCATTAACTATTATTAATTAATGAACATATCATTTTCGTTTTTGATCGATTTTATCACGATTCTTCTCTTAAGCTTGGTGACTAATTATACATTCTTACAGCTCAAAGTAGAGTTCAATTGTGTTATAAAAACCTCAGAGAATTCCAGTAAGATATCTTTAATCATTTCTAAGATACAACGATTCAGAGCTTAATCCAACAATTGGTCAATTTGCTGTTACATTGTAATGAACTTTGGACAATTACTGACGGAATTTCCTCCTTATCTGAGAAGTAATTTGTAAAAGTCGATGAATAAAATTGATGTCAGTTGTCTTTTATACCATTTTCCATATATATATATATACATATATATATATATATATATATATAATGCAAGACTCTCCCAATGGATTGAGTCCTCAAACTCATTGGCGTGTTTATGAAAAAATAAATAAGCAAAAATTCAACTTTCTCTCTGACGGGCTCCGATAGCCTGACGGTTAGAATCTCCGACCGATGCCAAATCGGATGTCTAGCCACACTGATGAGCTGTGATACAGCGAAACCGTATTTTTGTGAATGAAGATATTAGCTCCTGGAAAAAAATAATTAATTGCCATGGCTTAAATAACATGATCTAATAGAGAAATAAATAAATTTTCACCAATAACACTGATTTATTTACTGCTGACTTTGATCCGTCTTAATGAACCACCCTTATATATAATCCATCTTAATGAAACACTCTTATATATAATCCGTCTTAAGGAAACACCCTTTATTAATATACAAACAATGCTTGCCAATAAATGCTTATAAACCACATGTATCATTAGTATTATGTTGCTATAAGTGTCTTTAATATTATTCTGTAATATATTGAATACCAATGAAATTGAGTATTTTGTACATGAATAAAGTATTAATTTATTTAAAAAATATTATTGGAGACCAATGGTCCTTAGACGAGTATTCCTTAGCCAAATGTCCTTAGACAAGTTTCACTTAGACCAATATTCTTTAGATGAATGTTCCTAAATCTTGTGTGTAGACAGATCAGTAGATTAATTCTGTTAATAGCAACTAATTAAAGTGAAAAATTAATTTTCAATAATTGAAATTGATAATGCCTATTATTATTGTCCTTAATGTCCTGTTTTGTCCAATTGTTAGCCTGGGTCAATCCCTTGGCTACCATGAGAGTGTGATGAATTTATTTGATGAATAGAGTCCTCCTTGATATGCAAGCAGTACCGAGGACAATTTTCTGGGTTTCTTATCTTGATGTTTGCCAGTGATTTTATTAGTATATTTTTCCATCCCTTTTTACCAAACCAAGAGCTCCTATTATCACTGGTATTACTGTGATCTTCGTTCTCTCAATTTCTGTTTCTAAATATTATTATATCTTCTTTTTCTCAGGCCGATCTTATGCCGTAATTTAACGATGTGGATCGAGTGATAGCAGATGAACACGGGTCCTTTCATTATTTCGCTTATCTACATCAACCATTTACTTTTTAAAATTCTGGATTTTCCAGGCAAGGCTGTTTTCTAAATCATTTCGAGTCACAGTCCGAATTTTAACCAGCCATTTTGGGGATTTTATTTGACACTGAGAGCGCCCATAACAACTTTTATTTTATTAAGACACTTACAAGCGTTCATTTTTCTCATTTTTCAAATTTTAATATCATCATTATTTCAAATTTTAATAACTATCATTACGTTCTCTTGTATTATTATTATTATTATTATTATTGTTTTTATTTCCTTTGATTTCTGGTGCGTACACATTTCTTTTCGGGTGCTGCCCAGAGACCTAAGGTTAGAAATGGCATCATGACACATTCCACTGACAAAAAAAAATAACACATATTTACATATTTTACATTATTATTATTATTATAATTATTATTATTATTATTATTATTATTGTTATTATTATACTAGTCTCTCCCTTCGTTAGTTCGCACAGGCAGCATGCCCTGCCAATACCTCATAAATAATGAACTATTCCGTTTTGATAACATGGAAAGAAGAAAAAAATCACTATTTGGTTTCAAAAATAAAATGAAAGGAAGAAAGAAAGTTGTAAAAAATGAAGGAATGAAGAAAGAAAAAGTTGTCAATTTAATTTTTTTTTCATTTGTACCCACTTCTTAAAATAACGAACAGGGTCCATATTTATGATTGTTATTGTCATATTTTGTTAAAGTTGTTAAGCTCAAATATTTAACGATGCGACAGGGGAATTTCTACAGATATTTTATTGTCATAGAACTTGCTATGAGCTTACTCAACCATTAACTTAAGGATTAAGATTCATCAGAAAATTCAAATAGGAAAACCGTGAAATTTTCACGGGTTTTAACTAGTTATTATTATTGTTAATTTTTTTTTTTTTTTTTTTGCCATTTCTATTCGTATATTCCCTGTTATCATCATTATTATTATTAATATTATTGTGGTTGTTGTTATTTCTATTCTTATGTTCCCTGGCATTATTATTATTATTATTATTATTATTATTATTATTATTATTATTATTATTGTTGTTGTTGTTGTTGTTGTTGTTGTTGCTGTTGTTTTTATTCTTTACTTACTTGCTATTATTATTATTATTGTTGTTGTTGTTGTTGTTGTTGTTATTTCTGTTCCTACGTTCCCTGATATTATTATTATTGTTGTTGTTGTTATTGTTAAATTGTTGTTCTTTTTAAGTTCCCTGGTATTATTATTACTATTATTATTAGTGTTGTTTTTCTTGTTAAATTGTTGTTGTTATTTCTATACTATATATTTAAAATTTGTCCATATTTAAGATGCGTTTCATATGTAGTGAAACGAGAAGTGGCGAATGTAAATTCGGTTGGGTTTTTAAATATAACTCTGGAACAGAGAAAAAAATATTTTGGATTTTATTCTGTCGGCGTCCATTTGTTATTTTCTTTTTTCTTTTTTGCTACGCGCAAGAATACAGTAAAAATAATTCCGATGAATGTGAACGAGACGGTTGCAATTTTTATTTAGGTCAGAAAAAAACACATCGTCCTAAGAGCTTTTCTTTTTGTTTCATTTTTTTTTCATTTTTTTTTTTAATTTGATTTTTATTTACTCATTTTTTTATGTCCTTTTTCAGTCTATTTTTTTCTCCTTTTTTTTTTTTTTTGTATTGTGTATCCTTTATCTTCTCATCGTCAAATCGGATTTGTTTGTCGCTCGGTAGCTCTTTTTTCTGTATTCCTCTTTCTGGCGGGAAATAGGGAAGTTGAAGGTACTGTACAGTCCGTACGTACATAGCGTGGAGAGCAAATTGTTAAGGATTCTATGTACAGTTTCACGACGTCATGCTGTTCAGTTAGCGACTAACTTTGGACAGTAGCAGTTTTAGGATCCGTTGATTGGCTCTGAAAATACAGAAAAAATATTAATTTTCAATCAGTAACCATTATAAGATGATAATGCATTTTTTAATATTCACTATTGTGCATTAATTTATGAGAAACAGTGTATTTACTGTTATAAATTGATTCTTTAAAACTGGTTTACTCATTCTTGTTGTCATATTCACATTTCGACCGCTAAACATTTCGGTGTTCACATCTTATAAGAAGTGTTGTGACTATTATATATTTACTTCCTTTACGGCATTCTCTTCGTAGGTTTTGGATTTACCACATTTCTGACACTATACAATCCTGCATTCATTTTGTTACTGTTATATTTTGAGTCATTGAAACAATTGTCATAGTTTCTGTTGCTATTGACATAAAATGTTTGTCGCTGTTTAAACTAGCCTTCATTTTTTTAAGGAAGAGGTTTTCCTGTTCTACGTTGATTCTTTATGACGCCAGCTTTGATAGATAGATAGATAGATAGATAGATAGATAGATAGATAGATAGATAGATATAAATAGGCTGATATATATATATATATATATATATATATATATATATATATAGATAGATAGATAGATAGATAGATAGATAGATAGATATGAATCGGCTGAGATAGATATGAATCAGCTGAGATAGATAGATAGATAGATAGATAGATAGATAGATAGATAGATAGAATCGGCTGAGGTAGATAAACATGAATATTCTGAGATAGATATGAATAGGCTGAGATAGATAGATAGATAGATAGATAGATAGATAGATAGATAGATAGATAGATAGATAGATAGATAGATATAGGCTGATATATATATATATATAGATAGATGATAGATATAGGCTGATATATATATATATATATAGATAGATAGATAGATAGATAGATAGATAGATATATATGAATATATGAGATAGATAGATGAATAGGCTGAGATAGATATGAATAGGATGAGATAGATAGATAGATAGATAGATAGATAGATGAATAGATAGATAGATATAAATAGGCTGAGATATATATATATATATATATATATATATATATAGATAGATAGATATAGATAGATAGATATATATATATATATATATAAATAGATAGATAGATAGATATATATATATAGATATATAGATAGATAGATATAAATAGGCTGATATATATATATATATATAGATATATATATATATAGATAGATAAATAGATAGATAGATAGATAGATAAATAGATAGATATATATATATAGATAGATAGATAGATAGATAGATAATGTGACGATGGAGACCAACGTAAAAACACTATTCTTATGAACGTATGGATCTCCGTTCGATTATCTCATATCGACTGTCCTCAATCTGAAACGTCAGCTTCGGTTGTTTTTACAGTTCCTACCTTCCCAATCAACATTGACCTTTACCGAAATCCGAACAGTCCAATTCCATATTCTTTCTTCAACTTCCAAAAATTAGTTTCCGGAAAATCCTGCCTCACAAAATTATGTTAACCTACAAGTCAAACAATTTTCACTGTGTTTATAATTTAATTTCTTGTTACCCTTTTGCTAGAAGTGGCCTCTGAATTCTTTGAAGCGGCTGCAACTTTGTTTCGTTCTTGTTATTTCTGTACAAATGTGGATTATCGGCAAAGGCTTAATCTGATCAAGAGATGAAAATAAAGGCGGCTTACATTGCCTCTGGGGTCCGGTTGGGAGTAAGGACTGGCACAATATTTGTAGGTTTTCCCTGGGGATAAATTAGAGAATTCTGGGAATAAAAGAGTTGTTTCTCTTTTCTAATTCACCCCCTCCCCAGGATCCCAGAAGACATGCCATGCCATGGGTCAACAAGCTACTCACACATTTACGATGATCAAGAATTCGAGCCTCACTGGGTTTTATATAATTGTTGCATTGTATTTGATTAAGTTGAACAGTAAATATTTGCGTGTTGAGTCTTGAAGCAATAGTTAAACGTTCATCACGGAGCCCATTATGACGGATATGAGTTCGATCCTTACTGGCGATCTCATAAACGTGGAGTAATGGATAACGACTCAGACTGAGGAATCGGAGAGCCGAGTTCAAATTCCAATCGGATTCGTTACATTCTCTTACATATTAATACCTTTGGGAAAAGTAAGAATCCTCTTCCCACACCAGCTATATGTAAATAGCGAAACAGACGTGGTATAAGGTCTAGGAGAAGGTAACTCTGAATTCAAAAACCGGCCTGGAGAAGGTTGGGCCCGTCAGGCTATCTTGCCCAACAAAGACCACTGACGGCTGTCTTGCCCAAGAAAGGCCACTGACGGCTGTCTTGCCCAAGGCCACTGACGGCTGTCTTGCAAAGACCACTGACCCAACAAAGACCACTGACGGCTATCTTGCCCAAGAAAGACCACTGACGGCGATCTTGCCCAAGAAAGACCACTAACGGCTACGGCTGTCTTGCCCAAGAAAGGCCACTGACGGCTGTCTTGCCCAACAAAGACCACTGACGGCTATCTTGCCCAAGAAAGGCCACTGACGGCTGTCTTGCCCAAGAAAGACCACTGACGGCGATCTTGCCCAAGAAAGACCACTGACGGCTATCTTGCCCAAGAAAGGCCACTGACGACTGTCTTGCCCAAGAAAGACCACTGACGGCTATCTTGCCCAAGAAAGACCACTGACGGCGATCTTGCCCAAGAAAGACCACTGACGGCTATCTTGCCCAAGAAAGGCCACTGACGACTGTCTTGCCCAAGAAAGACCACTGACGGCGATCTTGCCCAAGAAAGACCACTGACGGCTATCTTGCCCAAGAAAGGCCACTGACGGCTATCTTGCCCAAGAAAGGCCACTGACGGCTATCTTGCCCAAGAAAGGCCACTGGTGGCTATCTTGCCCAAGAAAGACCACTGACGGCTATCTTGCCCAAGAAAGACCACTGACGGCTGTCTTGCCCAAGAATTTTATTAGCCCCGGGATCCCAAAATGTCATAATCCAGATATATATATATATATATTTAATTAATTCATCTTGTCTGATAGAAACCTCAGCAGAATGCAGAAAGCACTGGACGGCCGTTTCGCCCTCTATTTGGGACTCATCAGCTGTGCGCATCCACTACCGAGAATTGAAACCCTGACAGTTAGGTTGTCAAGCAAACATCATACCAACTGTTCCAACGGGCCTCGGTGACGAAGGGATTGCAAATATATCCCAAATATAGGACGAAACAGCCGTCCAGTGCTTTCTGCATTCTATTGAGGTTTCTATCAGACTCGATGAATTAATTAAATATAATTATCAAATCCTCCTAATAATTTCTATCTGTGTATATCGTTGCTTGAACCGGCTTCTAATGCTCTAGAGTGGGCGGCTTGGTGAGAGTAGTCGTGGCTCCAGGGGACACAGTCCTATGGTTATAGAGAACTCAGTAGAATTCCACTACGGAATATGTGAGCGAGCGGCGCTAAGTTGAGTCTGATTTGGAATCTCTTCGTCACCGAGGCCCATTTGGAACAGTTGGTATGATGTTTGCTTGACAACCTAACTGTCAGGGTTTCAATTTTCGGTAGTGGGTGCGCACTGCTGATGAGTCCCAAATATAGGACGAAACGGTCGTCCAATGTTTTCTGCATTCTGTGGAGGTTTCTATCAGACTCGATGAATTAATTAAATATAATTAATAAATCCTCCTAATAATTTATATATATATATATATATAAATGGGGTGGATGGTTGCATGTCTATATATTTTTGAGCAGAATGGATCAGGAATAAAGTAGCAATTCGATTCACGTTGCAAATCATTAAATGTTACAATAATTTAAAAATGCCCTGAACATTGCTCTAAAAATAGTCTAACCCTAAACCATGCTTCTTGAGGAAGTCTGTCTTTTATCGAAACACCAATTGTAGATAGATTTATCAACAAAGGTAAAAGAGTTTCTATCTACCCATTAGGTGAATGACATAATCAAGATGTTGACATTCCATTCTAGCTAAAAGAGTAGGAAGGAAACATTCATACATATTGGAAAGCGCAATAAGTGAACTTGAAAGACCTATTTTGAGAAAAATTATTTTAAGAGAAAAATTTTTTATCCTGTGCCGCGCCATTTAACTGAAAGATAAATTAGTTAAGAATAATAGGTAAATCGGACAAGATAAATTTTAGCAAAAGAATAGTGTCAGTTACAAAATAACTCCCTTGTAGGAAACTATCTCTTTTAAAACAGGTAAATTTTCGTCAGTAGCTTACAGGTCATTATATCAATTTTCCCTTTTCAGTCTTTCCGGGTGACGTGACTCTTTTTCAAAGATGATTTCCTTTTAGGACGAGTAACGTAGGGTATTCATTGGGCGAAGTCAAGTTTCATGGCTTTTAAAATGCTTTTAGCGTAGTCAGTCGAGTGTTATACTTAAGCGGGTTAAGGAGACTTTTATAATTTGAAGGTGGTTCTAAGACTTTCATTGGATGGAGAAAGTTCGATTGGCATTAATCAGGGGAGACAGCATTGATGCCTGTTATGGCAAAGGATATTTGGCCGGGGTTATTCTTGTCATTTCAGTGGAAAATTCGATCTACTGTTCTAAATGGATGTGAAAAGTGGTGAAAATTATTCAAATGAGATAGATATTAACCGATTTTGATAGATAGATAGATAGATAGATAGATAGATAGATAGATAGATAGATAGATAGTGAATAGATAGATAGATAGATAGGAACAGATAGAGATATAGATAGATAGATAGGGAACAGACGGAGATAGATAGATAGTGAACAGACGGAGATAGATAGATAGATAGATAGATAGATAGATAGATAGATAGATTAAAATGTCAATCTCTTTTTTGTTGTTAGATAGCGCTAGGAGAGTTTACTTTTGATTTTTTTTAAAAAGGACCACTGATAGCGAATATATATCTGTGCATTTTTATTGTTATTGTTTAATTTGTTTTTACGACTTATCAACCCTTTGCTGGTTATTTGAAGTCAAAACAATTTTCGATTGTAAGACTAATTATTCTGCAAGTGAATATAGCATTAACAATTTTTGGAAGATAACAATGATTATGCCAAATACAAGGCCTACTATTTAATCCATAGCCGGAGAGAAGAAGAAATGAATTTCTACATTTCCCAAGGGTATTTGCACGTAAATGAATGTAACGAACTCGACTCGAATTCGAACTTGGCTCTCCAATTTCTGATTCCGAGCCGCTATTGTAAAAAATGGGATACTTTTGCTGATACTAACATTAATGATGGAAAAAATAAGCAATGTTTTCGGCATATGATTTTTATTTTAAGAAAGGCTAAGAATGCAACTAAAACGCAAAATAAAGTTTGTACCATTTATGGAGAAGGTATTGTGAAGGATCAAACGTGTCAAAACTGGTTTGCATAGTTTAGTGCTGGGGAGTTCTGGTAAAGCAGTTAAGGTCGATAGTGATCAAATGAAGACATTACTTGAGAATAATCACCATTATACGACACTGGAGACAAACGACCTGCTCAAAATATCTTAATCCAAAGTCAAAAAATCATTTGCAACATGGTTATGTTAGTCGCTTTGATGTGTGGCTTCTGTGCGCGATTTGAAAATCTTTGTGTGTGCGTGTGGGTGGGTGTTTCGTTTTTGCTTGTTTTTCGTTTTCAGAAAGCGTCAATGAAGAAATTCCGGAAAGCCATTAATTATAATTATGTCTTGTAAAATAATTTTTTTTAATGGTTCCCTTTATCACTAATGGCCTTGAGAAAAGCAAGAAATCTATTTCTCTTTCCCCAGCTATGGACTAAACAGCGAGTTAAACTGGATAATATCGCCTTGGAGGCAATCAGTATACTTTTTACTTTTTTTTTTTTTTAGTTATTGAAAATATTCAAAAGCTGTGACGCGCGATGAAAACTGGATATATTACAACAATGTAGATTGCAAGATATTGTAAGGTAAGTTACGCTATTTACGCCTACAGTAGATTGCGAACTTATGTGATTACTTTTTCTTCTTTTTTCTAAGAGTTACTGTTAGTGAACATTTTTACAAATTGATATGGGGCCATGCTGCTTGAGGAAGTCTGTCTTTTATCGAAACACCAATTGTAGATAGATTAATCAACAAAGGTAAAAGAGTTTCTATCTACCCCTTAGGTGAATGACATAATCAAGATGTTGACATTCCATTCTAGCTAAAAGATTAGGGAGGAAACATTCATACATACTGGAAAGAGCAATAAGTGAACTTGAAAGACCTATTTTGAGAAAAATTATTTTAAGAGAAATATTTTTATCCTGTGCCACGCCAGGAAATTTTTCTCCCCGGAATCGATCCTTCAGATCTACAAATCAACAATTCGCCCTTGCATGGAGTATTGTTGCCATATATGGTTTGGAGCCCCTTCTGTTTGCCTCGGGGTTCTTGATAAGCTCCAGAGGCGGATATGCAATATAATTGGCCCTGTTCTGGCATCTCGTCTACAGTCGCTCTCTCACAGACGCGCCGTCGCCTCTCTCTGTCTTTTTTACAAATACTTTCATGGTAATTGCTCCGAGAAGCTGCTTTCGCTGGTTCCCAGACTTCATGAGTTCAAGCGCCCTACGAGGCTGGCATCCCACTCTCACCCTTTCACTGTCGAAACTCCTAAATGTAGCCGTCTCTTCTATTCCAATAGCTTCATGTCTCGCACCTCTCGCTCGTGGAACTCCCTTCCCTATTCCAGTTTCCCTGAGAGCTATAATCTCCAACTATTCAAATGTAATGTCAATCGACATCTCCAGTTGTCTTGATCTATTCACTACCCTTCTCCTCATCCTTTCCTCTGTCACTCCTATCTGATCTTGCTCCAAATCTTCTGTAACCCCTTGCGTCCTAGTGGCTTCCCGCCTTGCTTGGGGTGAAATGCTTAAAAGAAAAATGTCAACCGTTGGTAGCAATGGCTGCTTGGTCAATGAATGCCTAAAGTTTCCTTATAAGGAAACAACTAATAAACCGTTTCCAATGTATATTCTCCATCAACGGCAAACGTCATTTTTTGAGACAGCGTTTAATTTTTACCTTTCGGAGACTTGAAGCAACAGAGATGTCCTGCTACAGAAGGATACTGAGAATACCATGAATAGAACATGTGAGCAACAAAAGGTTTTAAAGAAAACTAGTAACTTCGAGCAAGCACAGCTATCGACGGCTTCCGAAAAGCCCTGTCTATCCTAATTTCACTCATAAGATTTGTCACGAAACTGTTGTTTTTAAGCTCTTCCCAACGGTTCACAACGCTAGAATCGTCACTCCGAGACGATATAATCGAAAAGTCATATTATTGATTACTCGACCGAAAGTCTGATGGTCGAAACGCTAAACCTCGAACCACTTTGTCAAGTAAGATAAGTAAAATGAAACATCACTAAGCGTAATAAAGATGAAAATGTAACCAAGACTCTAGAAATTAGTTGTGCAGATTATGAAGATGGTACGTTATTTAACCTTGGAAGAGGATCGTGGCTCTCCACAACGTCCTATCCTTTGCAGCTCTAAACAATATCTATCCCCTTATTATCTCTACCACTGAGCTACTATTTAAACTCGTGGCATCTTTCTATATTTCTGAGATGAGGTTTTATGTACACTATTTACAGAACACTTGTATTTAGAATCAGAAAGAGCTAGTTGAAATTTCTCGAGCACATCGTGAGGAAGATGGTTTGGAGAATTTGGCACTCACAGGACATACTGAAGAAGGAACAGAGTGAAATATCAACTAACCTACGCCACGAGTTTACACTATTTACATTATTCGGACTATTGTCCTCATCCTTGTCGTCATATTTATTACACACGTGCCATGTATAATGGATGTCATTTATCAGTTATCTCCTTATCTTAAGGCAGTGGAGAACTTGGTGAGGGAAATTAACAGGAGATAACTGATAACTGACATCCATTAAAAATGGCACGTGGAACTAGAACAGTCTACCCCAGTGAGCGAAAAAAAGGGTTCAGTTTAAAGAAGGCCGGAGCGTTCAACGGCCGAAACGTTGTAATAAATATGGCGACAAAGATGAGGACAATAGTCTGAATAATGTAAATAGTGTAAACACGTGGCGTAGGTTAGTTGATATTTCACTCTGTTCCTTCTTCAGTATCTCCTGTGAGTGTCAAATTCTCCAAACCATCTTCCTCGTCATGTGCTCGAGAAATTTCAACTACCTCTTTCTGATTCTAAATTCAAGTGTCTTTTTTGTTACTAGTTTTCTTTACAACTTTTTGTTGCTCACATGTTCTATTCATGGTATTCTCAGTATCCTTCTGTAGCAGGACATCTCTGTTGCTTCAAGTCTCCGAAAGGTAAAAATTAAACGCCGTCTCAAAAAATGACGTTTGCCGTTGATGGAGAATATACTTTGGTAACGATTAATTAGTTGTTTCCTTATAAGGAAACTTTCAGCATTCATTGACCGAGCAGCTATTGCTACCTTCGGTTGACATTTATAAAAAATATTTCTCTTAAAATAATTTTTCTCAAAATAGGTCTTTCAAGTTCACTTATTGCAGTATTTATGGATGTTTCCTTCCTAATCTTTTATCTAGAGTGGAATTTCAACATCTTTATTATGTCATTAATCCCTTTACGAATTACATGTGATATCCATTTTAGTTGTTGCTGCTATTGGCAGTCTTGAAGTGATGGGGTTTCTGTTATTTGCTATAGTTCTTTTTTTGTGGTTATGTGGCACCAACAAACGAGGCTCGAAGGTGGATAGTCCTCGCTAAGACCTACAGGTTTCATTCGCTTGAAGTCATTTTTAACTACTAATGCGGGAATGTTGTTGTATACAACTGACAGTCTAAATATTTCTGAACGAGTTTGGCGACAAGCATGGCATCCATATGAAGGTCTCGAACTGACGACGGAATTTAAGAACATGATTCTAGTTTTTAGATTAATGCTTTTCTTTTGTACCAATTTGCAGTGTTGAACGAAATTACCGCCAGCGCCGCTTATTCTACATTCAGTTCCCTTATCTCCTGACTTTCGGCCATATAACGTTTAAATTCCAGTTTCCGTACGAGCAACGTCAAGCGTGATCGATACCCGTATAAGAGACTGCTCGGGAATACTAACTCCTTGTATGTACAAGTGGTTTAATGAATAATGGCTTGTAATTGTTAATCAGAGAGCCGAGTTCTAATTCCACTTGGGTTCGTTATATTCATTGATGCGCAAATATTATTGGGAAAGGTATGAATCCACCACTTATCCCCCTAGCTATAGGTTAATTAGTAACACTTGCATCACTAAACCATTATTACCTGATAAGCCACAGAAAACGAATAAATCAGTCAAGGCATTAATTCTTGATCACTAGAAATCCCGTAAAGTTTTTTTTGTTTGTGATTCTGTAGCGCCAATTGACAATATTTGAAGAAGGGTGGTTTTTGCCAATACCTACAGGATTTCCTCGATCAAAGCCATTTTTAACCATTGATCTTAGAAAGCGGTTGTATACTGCTTAAGGTTTAAATATTTCTGAACGTGTTTGGCACCATGAATGGCATCTATATGTCAGCCTTGATCTGTCGCGACTATTTAAGAACATGACATAATGTTTTGGTTTTGTGGCAACTGGCGGTGTTGGGCGAAACTACGCCTAGCGAAGCCTATTCTACAATTCAATTCTCTTATCACCTATATTAAATTCGTTACAACTGATCTATACACCGAAGTATTAGAAGTGTTTAGCATTTACTAATTCTACATTCTGATTTTTTTATATACTTTACTTGATCGAAAGAAGATGATGTGTATATAATAGAATTGAAAAGAGATTCTCTACTACGAGCTCTTTCTGAGGAACAAAATATTTATTTCGAACTGCTCCTCCTTTAAACCAATTGAAGACAGCTAAAAGAATACGCCTGAAATGAGTTTAAAAAAAAGTGAACCTAATAATCCTTCAAGATAACACTTGACGGCAGATGCAAATTGTCACTGAGAAGTTTTCATTTATCCGTTGTACTAGCAATATCGTATTAAAAATATTCATCTTCGGATTAACCATAGATTACCTCATCGGATTAACATTTATTCCTATCTTTACAAAATTCTCTTAATGAAAATAAAACTCAATTTAAAGACTGAAACAGCGGGTCTTTTCTTACAAAGATAAAAAAAAAAGTTCTGTTAAAACAGAATTATAAAACTGATTGAAATATGACAGACGGAGACGATAGTGGAACCAGACGGTAAATATGTTATTCAATAAAGTTAACGGCGAAAATAAGGAAACTTTTATTTTTGTTTAATAAGCCGAACAAACTTTTTCGAAGACATACAGACGCGTGTTATTGAATACACCAAATAAGGAATATTGAGTTAATTTGTTTAATTAAGTGCTCTCTTTTGTTTTTGTACAAAGGAACGAATGATTATTTCAAGATCATGGAAGAACTGTCCCTAGTCTTGACCATTTGGTAGTCTACATTCGCACTAATGTCATGTGTCAATCTATTGCTTTTCCCCAACTATGGGCTAAATAGTAAGTTAAACTGGGCTCTTAAGCTCTGGGTGCAAACTAGTCAACTTTTTAAAAAAATTCAGCTAATGAGAATATACAAAATCCTATTTCCTAAATTAAAAGAGTTTTTATTTACAGCAGATGTGTTACTTTTTTTATTTTTATATTAAGTACTTCAAGAATTTGGATTCCCTGTCTGCACAATATTGTTTAAGAGTATTATGGTGATGCTTATGTTAATGGTGATGGCTATGGTAATAGTGATGGTTATGTTTATGGTGATGGTTATGGTGATGGTTATGTTAATGGTGGTGGTTATGTTAATGGTGATGGCTATGGTAATAGTGATGGTTATGTTAATGGTGGTGGTTATGTTAATGGTGATGGTTATGGTGATGGTTATGTTAATGGTGGTGGTTATGTTAACGGTGATGGCTATGGTAATAGTGATGGTTATGTTAATGGTAATGGTAATGGTGATGGTGATGGTTATGGTAATGGTGATGATGAAAATAACCGTTTCCATACAGGAACAGTTAGTTTTACAGTCGGTTGGAACTTATAAAATCTTTTTCTTAACAGTTTTTCAGGCAACTAGACTTCTCAAGTCCACAGGTTATCACTCTTTCTAGTATGGATGGGAGTTTCCTTCCTAACCTTTTGGTTAATGTAATGTGGAAAAGTCTTAATGTGATGTTGTTTTTTATATTTTTAGAAACAAAGAAAAGAGTACTGAACTGTTACATAATATCAGTGTTATAGAGAGATGGAATTATAGAGCCTGATGTTATAGAGACTGAATTCAGCGTCTTTTGGCGAGAAGTCCGTTTTCACGCGGGAAATGTTTCTGTTGAGTTCTGGGAGAACTTTTATTTTTATTTTATTCTTATTTTTTGGTTTTATTTAATTTATTTTAAACAAAGTTTTAATGTTATTTGTTTTATTTTAATTATGATAGTTAATATTAATTTATATTTTATTTTTATTTATTAATAATAATAATGTCCCTACAATCCACACTTAACATAAAGCTATACCAAAAATAACCACAATTCAAAACCTTTATCTATCTTTAAATAATCCTATAGTGGTTGAATGACAATTAAGCAGAAGCCAAACCAAACCAAATCAAACCAAACCAAACCAAACCAAGCTAAACCAACCCAACCCAACCCAACCAAATCCCTCCTACAAACAGAAGTAATGACTCTTTCCTTCTATGTCTTTTTCTTTTTCCAATCAGAACAAAACCTACCTTATGATTTTAGTTACATAACATTTTTCTGGTCACGTGCTGCTGCCTGTATATCAATAGTAAAATCAACCGTTTCTATTCAGTAAACATTCAGCATTCATTGACCAAAGAGTTAATGTTGCTGTTGGTTGAAATCTATGAAATCTTTTTCTTAAAAGAGTTTTTCAGAAAATTAGACTTCTCATGTCCACTAACTGTTATCGATCTTTCTAGTACTGACTGGAATTTCCTTCGAAACTATTTCTTTAACTGTACAATTTTTTTATGCTTTTTGTGTGTGTTGTTTTTTTTTTTTTTTATTGTTGTTGATATTTTATAAAGCTCCTTGTGAATTTGTAGCGGCTATCCATTGGGTCTGATGTAGTAGCTTTTTCTTCATGATTTATAAGATTAATTCGTTTGACGCCATTTTCAACCAGAGATCTGAAAAACCGTCGTATATAGCTGATAGTTTATAGATTTTTAACGCCATCTGTATGAAAGTCTGACAAGGCTATTGAAGACCATGGCTCACGTTTTCAGGTCAATATTTTGGTTTTGTGACATATTAAGCCGTTCGACAAAAGTATCCATAGCTCAACCTATCCTGTATTCAAATTCCTTATTTTCTATAATAAATCTGATCAAAATAACATATTTAAAATATCTATAATTTATCAATTCAGCATTCTGAATTTTTTTTTTATGATGGATTCAGGGTATGTGCCGTCATTACCTTTGAAGGCACGGTGGAATAATGGATAGCGGCTTGGATTGAGGAATCGGAGAGCCAAGTTCGAATTCCAGTCGAATCCATTACATTCACTTCCGTGCTAACACCCTTGGGAAAAGTTTGAATCCTCTTTCTTCTCCCTCCAGCTATGGGTAAATAGCAAGACAGACTGGGTTCTATAGCCTTGTATGGCAACTGGTCTAGGAGAAGGAAAACTCTGAATTCAAAACCTGCGGAGGGTGAATGGAGTCTCTCTGAGCCTTGGTTGGCAATCCATTTAGTGATGGTGTCACGATAAAAACACCCTTGATAGCCCTAGCGAAGCATCAAGAATTCAGCTATTTGACAAGATTATGAACTACACCAATCAAAGTATTGGTGAGTTCAATCTCGGCTGAGGCCGCAAGATGATGAAGACCTTGATTCAAACAATAGATCGTAGTTTGTTTCAGAAAGGGTTATCTGGGATCGTAATTCTTGGAACGCTTGAAATAGATCATTCTTATATTAACTGTGAACATCTATTTCGTCAGCATAGCATCATTAATTATTAGTACATGTTCCAGACCCGGGTTTTCACATTTCGTTTTCTCATATTGGTAGGAATCATATAATAAGATATGACCTTCGGGCACTTTGCTTGGATAATAGGTAAGTTGATCTGAGATAGATAGATAGATAGATAGATAGATAGATATGAAGAGGATGAGATAAATAGATAGATAGATAGATATAAACAGGCAAAGATAGATAGATTTGGTTTTTGGTTTTTTTATTAGTAATTCTTCCATTATTTTTAGCATTTTGTACATAAGGATGATGTCATTATATCTGTATTTTCAACGAGTATGTTACGGATAGAGTTTGGTAGGTCTCCATGTGTATTTAAATGAGACCTAATTGAGCTATGGTCAGAGTGATGGAACGTGAGTCTTCTTGTTAAACATGTTGTAGTATATCCAATTATTTACGAATTTGGATTGGTTACGAATACAGTTCCTTAAAGGACATGCATATATATATATATATATATATATATATATATATATATATATATATATATATATATATTTAAATTTTAGCAGGAGCATTTCTTTTAAAAACATTTTGTTGAATATGACCAACAAGAAAATTTTAATTTTTTTTTTTAGTTTTTCGAGCATTCTTACATTTTTCCGTTTGTTGGGAGTAAGAGATGCAAAAATTTGTCCGTGCAGTCCATTGTCCCAACCGCTTTCGTTCTCTTTTTTGGTGACAGCCATTTTGAAGGGAGAGGGGTTCTTTGAGGTGTTCTTTTAATATTTGACTGTTTAAGATGTATTTTTGTGTTGATTTGTATACCAGTAAAACTGTTTATGCCGAGATTCGCGTGTTGAGCGCGACAGAAATTCGAGTGAGCGCCTTTCTGTTTTTTCAACACACTATTCCCACTGTTGAATAAGGTGACATTTATAGCTGGAAGGAGATGTTTTATATACACGTCCTCTCTGACAGTGAGATGTTTCCTCTAATGTAATTTATATAGAAATTTTGAGTTTTCGACTAGAATCTTTCCTAAGGGTTCTAAGTTGTAGATAGCGAGATGATTTTTATAGCACTTTGATCAGATAAGTGACATGTGAGGCGACTACTCAAGGAGGTAGTAGTATGTCCTATATAGGTAATTGATTTATGACAATAAATACAGTCTTGTACTTGTCAGCGAAATTAATGCACTATATCAGTTAACGCTATGTGGCCTGATGATTGCGCCTAGCGTGAAACAGTCTGTCGCCTCTGAGTGTTGACTTCAATGGTCACTACACATAAGCTCTACCTTTGATACTGAGCACTTTATCCCATAAATATAGCACACCTTAAAACTATATATATATATATATAATGAACTCTCCTGTCGGTTTCGACGTATGAGGATCTGACAACTTAATTGATTCAGTTATAAAATTTTGTGCGATAATCTTGTGGCACTTAAAACCCGTTAGTGATTTAGAAAGGAGGCAGCATATGGAGCAAGAGTAAGGATTGTGGGATGAGATCACTGTTAGATTGGCTGATCTTTTAGATTTTGTTCTCACTTGTTGAAGACGATTCAGACAAGCTGATTGAAAACTGCTGAGTCCACTAAAAGACGTTGATCTCCATTGTACCCGCTCCAAGGCTAATATATAACAGCTGATATACATATATATATATATATATATATATATATATATATATATATATATATATATATAGTGTGTGTGTGTGTGTGTGTGTGTGTGTGTGTGTGTGTGTGTGTGTGTGTGTGTGTGCCTGCTTGTATGTGTATGTGTGGAATGAATAAGGTCCCTTGACATAGAATTATATTTAACAAGCTAATCTTCAGTATTGTTTCTCTTTTTGGGAGTTCAATTCGATAGAATTATCCCACTGTTATGGCCTGCACTAGAGTAAAGTAAACATATCGAATACCGATTTATATACCTAAAGAGCACATTACGCAGAGCGATGATTGACACACGAGACAGGCTATTCCCTTCACAAATCAAATAATACGTATTGCTTCCGTTTTGCCTGGCAGAGGTCACAAAAATTTGTGACTCTGTTTCAGACTGAGCATTGTGGATATTTATCACATTTTTCGTATCATACTTATGTGGCACTCTGTTGGGCCACCCACGTAGAAGGGGACAGGGTGTGATTTTATCTCATTCTTAATTGTTCCGTATTTTATGATCAGCGATAAAGACTGTGAAACGAGGTCTTTAAAAAGCAGTCAACCACTTGACTAAAAGAGAATAAAATAATTTATATAATAAATGCGAATGTCAGTGTGTCCCTGTATCACACTTTTTCAATTAAAGGGACAGAACCGTAAAACTTTCAATAGCTCATGTTACAGAACTTTGGGATTCCTAAGACTTTATTACTTCCTTTGTTTTCGGCGATTTTTTATGTGATTTTTGCGAAGAATTTTTTGTACGATAACAATTTTTATAACGTGGAAATAAATTTGGGAATAATCGAAATTAATTGCGAAATCCAACGAAAGTCACCGATGAAATAAAAATAATTGTTTGTACGGAAAGTAAGGACCTACGTTCATCAAATAGTCTTTAAATTAAGAGACGGTTGCATTTAAGCTATTTCAACAGTAAAATGGTGTGACCTAGATGCCAATCTAGCAGAACGCTTAAATTCATGTACTCGTGGCATCAGGGGAAAAAAGTACGTCAGAGGAATTGATAAGAAAATGTTTGTAGAAAAGACAGAGAGAAGCCACGTCATTTCGCTGAGAAATTGACTGATGTCAAGCTGCCTCGTCAGGATCGATTACATTAAAGGCCCTTCTTTGAATTTTATCAAGAACCTCAAGATGAATAGCAGGAGCACCAGGCCAGATATGGTAGCAGTATTCAATGCATGGACGGATGATAGATTTGTTTGATTCTAACGAGGAAAATTCTCTAGCACAACACAGTGACTCAACTTTCCTAGTAAGTCAGTGCAGGTGAATTTATTCCTTCTTCCCATCTCCAGCTGTAGGTAAATTAGAAGCCTTGGCTGGCATCCAGTCTAAGAGAAGGAAAACTCTTTATTCCAAACCGTCGAGAAAAAAATAGGAAATCACTCTGCTATCTTTCTCCAAGAAAAAAAAGCATTGCTATATACACATGATAAAAAAAGGAAATTGTGGAGAGCCATGGTCGCTTATGTTTAGAAGGGACATGGCATTTTAAAGAAAGATGCTGATATATTTAAGTTTAACAGTTATTAAAATTACTTATTCTAATTCTGTTTAAGAGCAAACCAATTTAGATCTAGGCTTCTCGGCCGGGGACAATGTTTAATGAATTTATTTTATTTGTCCATTGCTACTGGGCAGAGAATACGATACTCACTGGGTGCCCGATGCAAAATTCGATATTGAACAAACCAATAATGGTTGTCATATCGTATAACCTATCTTGACCATTCTATCCCGGATAACCACACAATCTCTTCTCGTAAAATAACTCGTTTATTTAGTGAGTTTAATTCTCCCTAGGTGACGCACTAGTGCGACTTTCTGTTAGACTAAACAAATTAAACAGTTCAATCTGTACTTGAGCCACGACACTCGACACACCAGCCTTGCATAAAATAATTAGGCAATCTTAGAACGAGCACCTCATTATTTTCATATGGTTCAGATCACTAATTTGCATCTGTAAGTATTTACTTGAAAAAAAAAACACAGAAAAGATTGCGAAAATGGTTCCCTGAAGTGTAATTTAAAAAAAAAAAAAAAGAAAAGACCTGTCGCTAAAATGGATCAATTAACTTATGAACAAGATATCTAGTCTGGATCTCACAATAAATGTCCGGTGTTTATTATTGCATCTCCCTGTTGAGTTATTGGAAGTGTAAAGACCATTGAATAGTTGAAGTTTCTCGTCGCCAATATTTTATATCACTTTTTGATAAGTCTCGTGGATTCTCGTTAACTCTCGGTAACATTCTCAGGAATGATCAGCAACCGTCTCTCCTGGGAACAATCTAAGAATCATGTCATAACGATATTTAACCGCGCGACCACACGAGCGGAAAGGTGACGCAAGACCGATTTCAAAGTGTGAGCTCCACGCCTACATGGGACTTGGTAGAAAAGCTGCTCAAGCTCCCTCGGAATTTCCCCTTTTGAAGTTGCCTCTATGAGCCAGTTCTGACTGGGTCTGGGAAGCGATTTCCACCCTCCCACACAGACACACACACACACGCATATATATATATATATATATATATATATATATATATATATATATGGCCACTCGTATTTGAGGATACCAGTCTACTAGGGCGGCTATCCAATCCCTGTTGCAGACGCTTGCTCAGACGCATTTGTGTCTATTCAACACCCACAGGGCCCACCTGTGGTTTATACTGCAACTATGCTCAGCAGACCTTTGTTATAGTTTCTGGGGAAGAGCGTGTTATCTAGCGTAATCAATAATTTGAACAAGGCCAGCACTCTCAAGCCCTCGGCCACGATGACTTGTGACTTCGTGCTAGCACAGACATTGAAAGCACCCCCCCCAGCAAAGGTTCCGTCTACCCAATTTCACTCACAATGCTTGGGTCAACCCGTGGTATGGTTTTTCAGGAACTTTCCAAAGATGCCGCAGGCCGGGATCGATCCTCCAGTCCGATAACATCAGGAAGTCTCTTTCCTGACAAATCGTCCATGGAAATTCTAACCCAGGTCCCACGCTCGCTCACAATAGGAATGTTCTGACCACGTGCCCATATATATATATATATATATATATATATAGTAGGAGTTATTAAACACGTACGTCATAACTTGCATTCACTCAAATGATTACATATATAGCGATAACAAATTCTGGCAATAATAGTAATAAATTGGATGAAAAATCATACACATGGCTACGCAGAGGGAATCTGAAGAGGGAAACGGAATTCGTCATCATCCCAACCCAGAACACGGACTTCGTGATATATTACGTCAAAATAATGAGTTACAAAACGCAGAAATCATTTTCAGTCACTAAAAGTAGTTAGAGAAACAATATCGAGAAATACATTTTAGGCTTGAAAGCACAGCAAAGAATACTTGTAAGAAAACAAGAAAAATTAACTAAAAATTAAACTAAAAGACAACTTAACACAATTAGACTATTTAAACAAAGAAACTATTAGCACAGAAATTACGGTTACATTTAGCATTTAGCAATGTCAATTATAAAATGCCGAAACCTTGCTGCAAATCTAGTACTATGCTTAAATTCATAAAGTCTAGGTACCATAG